AAAAAGAAAAAAAGAAAAGAAGAAGAAGAAGTTATGTTACATGAACTTTTTAAGGCCTATTTTAGTACGGAGGAATGAAATGAAGTTGGAAATAAAATGAGCATGAAAATTGAATGGAATGGTCATTCTCATTTTTTTTTTTTTTTATTTGGTTGGTTGCAAATATGAACTGATGTACCAATTCCAACTAGTGGAAGCAGGGATGGATCTAGAAATTCATATGGGGAATTTATAAAGAGGGGTTTTTTCATCATTTCAGTGGAGATAATTTTAAAAATTTATGGGTATAAATATAAAAAAAATACAAAATTTAAAGTATAAAATGCAATAACAAAAAAAATTATACATCCGTGCTTGAGTGGAGGTGGAAGGCAGTGGTGGCGGTAGTGGCAGTAGCAAAGAATTTCATTCATTAGAATTAATTTCCATTCCATCGGTTTAGATGTGAAATGAATTTTTATTTCAAATGAATAATCATTCTCACTTCAAATATAATATCAAATAAAAGAATAGTTGGAATCAAATATCATGTGTTAAAAATGTATAAAAGGCTCGGGTCAATCCGTTAAGGTCTTTATCTTTTCTTTACTTAATCAAGTGATTGACCTTGATGAAATTTCAAGTGATATTGATGTTACGATGTCACTTCATCTTTGTTGTGTTCACTTGTAAACAATTAGACGGGCTAATTTTGTTTTTTTAAAAGAAGTTGTCAACACAAGCCTCAAATATCCCAACAACATTCCTAGGTTTTTTCTTATATATATATAAAACCTTCATTCCTGGTTTTTGGAAGAATCTTCTACTGCAGAATTGGCTTGTCATTCATATATAAATATTACTAGAAAGTACTATTTGTTGTCCAATGCATATTGAATTGTTCGAGTGTTTTTAGATTATTATTACTAGAAAGTAGTATTTGTTGTCCAGTACATAATGAATTGTTCGAGTGTTCGTAGTTATTATTAAAATGGTTTCCAACTACCTCAAAGATGGATCATAATGAATACACAATGTTGAAGATGATGACATTGATGACAATCATGGTTTAGTACATTTTCTTGTTGCATTCAATATCATGTGTAATGTTTTGTACCATGTTGTACCTAGACGTGATGCCCAATGTGTTTTATTTATGAGAGTTGGTGTGATGTAATGTAACAAGGTTGCTCTTGTTATGATCTTAAAGTCATGTGTTCAAAATAAAAAACAACATCTTTGTATAGAATAGTAGTAATACACATTTTCAATAAATTTCAAGATGTGCATATACGTTTAACATACGTTTTTGTGATAAACATCACAAAATTCATTTCATAGCAGTTATCAATTTTTCCTGGGATACGCATATAAAATTGTATATATTTAAGGATCAAGTGCAAAAAACACCTTTAAAATATGTTTACAGTGCATATCACATCCTTTACGTGCAAAAAATACCCATAAAGTTTTAATTTGGTGCAAATAAGTCTGACAAATTTAAATCCTAAGTTGACTAAATTACTCTTTCTGAACTATTTTATAAAATATATAAAAATAAATAATTTTTAAAATGATAAAAAATGACACTATTGGAGGAGGCCGGCAATGGACAAGTGAAGACAAAAATAAAAAATAAAAATAAAAGTATAAAAGAAAAGTAAAAATAAAAAATAAAAAAATAAAAAACAAAAATAAAGTACAAACTAAAGAAAATAAAATTTTCCCAAACTTCGAAAACCAGTGCACAATGATACTGAAAAATTTTTATTTATTTTTTGTTTAACAGTGTTGGTATGAAATAAAAAATAAAGAAAAATTTTTTTTTTGTAGAAAATAGTAAACTGAAATCTCAAAAAATTCAAATTATTGTTCTACATATTGAAAAAAGTTTATATATAAGGTAATGTGCCCATAACACCCTTATACTATGAAATTAGTGGCATATATACCCTTTTAGGTATTTTCAGAAGAGTAAAAGGGCAAAACGAGTATTACAGCACTAATTTATGTCAGATGGGGTATTTTTGCATAATGTGAAAAGATTATGAGTGTTTTTTGTATACTTTTTCAAATAAGGGATAAAAATGTTACGCGAAATATATTTAGGGGTGTTTTATGCACTTATCCCTATATTTAATTATCTTTATTCGGCGAGACAAATGTAACCAATAAATAATAAAATTGACGGCACCCGACGGTCAATATCTCTTATCGACGTGTGATCCACAACACATTATGAGTACGAGACACCTAACCAGTCGGGCGGGGTTACAATGGCAGTTCTCTGTGCAACCCAATTTAGAGTGACGGTTCAAATTGCCTTGACATGAAATGAAAGTCACGTGGACCAAAATATGGGTCCATAATGTACGTATGGCACGTGCATAGATGCAGCCAATGAGGTGTAATGATTGCCAAAAAATGCCGACACCCATAAACCACATTTTGGGCTTAGGTTTGACTCCATTTTTGGGCCTGAAACACAGTATGGGCCTCACCTACAAGAGTTCATAATATATGTTTTTATATAACTGTTTTTTTATAATTTTTTTATTTTTCGAATGACAAAGCAAACAGACCTTATAATATTCTAACGATTTGCCATTTGCATTTAGAATAACTTAACTAGTGAGGGTGAGATATGTGATTCTAAGTCAAATTAATCGAATATGAAGAACAATAAGGTTCTATACATTTTATAGCAATTAGAGGCTAACATTTTTTAGGCCCAATAGTTCACTAAAATCTGCTGCTCTTTTTGACTAAAATCAACACACTCCTAGCCTTTTTTTCAAACGTCTTTTCATTGGAGGACTCCTCACTTGCATTAGTCTCATGATACGTGTGAAATTTAAGTTACGAACTTAAGTAGAAGAGGGAATTCGAATCCATACTCAGTATATTGAATACGATTCGTCCTACCATCCAACTGCGCGACGCTCACGGGGACATTTCATATATTATTGATATGTCTATCTTGTAACCTTCAAATTTTAAAGAATGCCCCAAGAATTCTCATTAATGTAAATGATTACACGGGTTGAGAAATTAATTAAAAAAAAATAACAATAAATGAGAAGAAATACTATAAATATTTATAATATAAAACTTTTTGAGAAAAAGTAGGTTCAATTTAAGTGATGAAATCATTCTTTCAAAATTTGAATAGGCTTTCCCCAAATTCATTTTGTTGTTATGACTAACGGGCACTCTTACTCGGAAGTTAAGCGCTCCGCCAACTAGATTACAAGATAATGTTATAATAAATTAACATCAAACATGACAAAGTTTACAACTAATAAATAATTTAAAATCTTACCCAATCAACCCAAGCCCAATTAGACTTTAACCCGTTTGGGGAAAAAAAAAATTATCGTATTGGGTTAGAGTTGAAATCGGGCTTGGGTTGAGGACCCAACCAACTAAATGGGCAATCCCATGAATGAAAAGAAGGAGCTTTGAAGCCTTGGGCCTTTGCATGGTCCAGTAACCAAACAATGAGACCCAAAATTGTAACATAGTTTGGCCCATGGCTGCACCTTTTTTTAAATATATATATATATATATATATATATATATATATATATATATATATATATATAAGGAAAATGCCATACTTCACGAAATTAAATTTGTAATTTTATATCGATTTAGGTGGCTACTTATTTGGCGGTATATTTTTAAAGTAATTTTTTTTTTTTTTTAATATAAGAAAGAAAGAAAAAATAGCAAAACTTATCATCATAAAATCCAAACCCTAATAAAACTTAAAAAATTAAATTTAGTTCTGCCCTTTCTATTAAATATACAATAATTAAAACTAGAAACTACAATTTTTTTAAAGATAAATGAGTGATTTCTTTGTTGTAAATAAGAGCCTTAATTTATATAATTCCCTTAAAACTTTTTATAATTGTATTTTGATTTGGTATTTTTTATTTTCTTGAGAAAAATAATAAACATCATGAAAAACGTGGCAGCAACGCTGTTTGCCACTTTTTCCTTTTTCTTGTTTTCTTTTTTATTTCTCTCTTCGAACCATTGTTGAATAGAAAGTTGTACAAACTTATTTATGTTTTGTTCGGTAAGAAGGAAGAAGGGTGGAAATAAAGTAGAAAGGAATGAACAAACTTTCTTAGTTCAATAGAAATAATATAAGAAAATAAAAGATAAAAGAATGGATAAATTATTTTTCTTCATTCACAAATTTTTATCCGTCTAAAATCAATTGCAGTCTCTTTTGTTCAACAAACTTGTCGCTTAATCTATGATGTTAAATGAAATTTTTTCGTTGATTCGTATAATGCAAATTCGATCACAAAAAGTGTATATATATATATTGAATACCTATGTCCACCTTTTTTTTAATCCGATTGAGAGAGTTTCATATTGAATAATTTACTCTGTTTTGGACTATAAGAAAAGATGAAAATTTTATCTATATAAAAATAGTTTAAAATCACTTATGTTACTATTTAAATAAATATATATCTATATATAGTATTTCATGACTCTGACCAAATTTTTTATATAGTACACTTATTTTTTCATTGATAATAAAGACAAAATACAGGCAAATTAGGATTTTAACTCAAAAAAATTAAATATATATATAACTAGATTGAAATTAATTATTCATTGACAATAGAGACAAAATACAGGCAAACTAGGATTTTAACTCAGAAAATAAATATAATATATATATATATAAAAATAGATTAGAATCAGACAAAATACAGGTAAACTGGAATTTTAACTCAGATTTTTTATTATTTATTTTTAAAAAAGATTGGAATTAATTTTACAATAGAGACAAAATACAGGTGTTTCTGAAATGTCCACTTGTACCCAATTCGCCTACGTGTATCTTGTCTCCCAATCACGGCGAGACGCGTGTTCCTCAAAACGTGTTTCACCCAAACACGTGTAGGGTCGTGACGTGGACCCTACTATTATCAATCTTCACCACCACCTATATATGAACACACTCGCAGATGCTTCTTAAATAGAGGCGTGGGGCTAGCTGAGAAAGGAGAGAGAGACACACACACACACACACACATAGAATTGGTTTCGTTTTCTTCGCCGGAAACGGTAAGAGAACGAATCACCGGGATATTCTCCGACCATTTTCTTGCTACATTCGTTTCCGGCGGCCGGATCTCTCTGTAACCATGGTAATTTTCATGCCCGTAAATATATATATATATATATAATTTTTGGTATTGTGTTGAATTTTGTAACCTGATTCTTTTGTTTTGAATGATATTCACCGATCTGCATTATTGTTGTGACAATCTCAATTTGTATAAAAAAATGCAATATATTTTCTTAAGGTTTACAATTTTGATTTGATGTTCAATGTGATTTTATTTATTTATTATTATAATGATATTCACTAATCTGCATAACTATCATGATAACCTCAATCTGTATATTATCGGATTGATTTTTAAAAAATCACCAAAATGGGTTTTTTTCATGAACAATGTCGCCAACATTTCACAAAAAAACAAATAATATATATATATATATATATATATATATTTAAGGTGTTTGGCAAAGGTACAGGTCAAAGTTGAGGTAATGTCTGTGTGTAAAATAACTTATCCAAAAACTTATCCAAAATCGATGGATAAGCTATTTTTGTTAAATTAAAATATATTTTTTTTCTTAATAAATATTTTATTTCGCAACAGAAAATAAAAATATATATTTTCTGAATTTTTTTTCCAAGCTAAAGGAGCCTAGATGAAACTTTTACAAAAATAACTCTAAATCTCTCTCTCTTTTTTTTCTTTTTCTTTTTTGTACTACCTTTTTTTTATTATTTTTTAATCATTTTCTTCAACAACAAAAAAAAAAAAAAATTTATAGAGAAACTGAATTTCAGAAACGAAAATATAGGGTAGGTTCTTCATTTCATTTTTATTTTTTGATAACCATGGTGTCCGGGGAGCCCCACTAAATCCACATGACTCGTGCAAGGCACCCCACGGATCGGGTAAATGTCAATTTCTTAAGGATATATTTCATGTTTTATATAGTCCGAGGGATGCCACTTGTAATGGGCCGAATGCTTGTCAGTTGTCATCTTAGCCAAAAGGTTAAGGTGTTGCGCCCTAGCCGTCCATATAAGCTGAAGAACCTCCTTATCTGTGACAACAAATCACTAGGACAAATTAAAGTACCACTACAGCAGAGCGTTTCGTTAAGTTAATATGCTTCCTGTGGACATATCTAATAATTTATGGAAATTTATTAAGCTTTCAAATCATTTACGTGCCAATGTGAGAAATGAAATTTTGTGAAGTAGTTTGCTCCTATATATATATATATATATATATATATATATATATATATATATTCCTATTCATTCATTTGCACTTGTGTAGTTGAGGCCTACTCTCCACAGAGAACCTTATATTTCATTTTTGCAGACAACATCAAGGCGTCTTGCTGATAGGAAGGTGCAGAGGTTCGATAAGAACATCACGAAGAGAGGAGCTGTGCCTGAAACCACTACGAAAAAGGGAAGCAACTATCATGTTGGCCCTATCGTGCTCGGCTTTTTCATGTTCGTCGTCATCGGATCATGTAAGATGATTCTTCAATATCAGTGTTTTAAGAAACCATTCTTTGTCAACATATTTAAACATATTTGTTACCAGCTGATCTTTGGAACTTCTAACACTTTCACATGGCAATGATGTTTTTTGTATCAAATATCCATTTAACTATACATAACTTAACACTTAATTCTATTGTAAATCATAGCAAAAATGATGAGAAATATTTAGTAGTTAAATCTATTTTATTTATTATATTTTTTTTTTCGGGTAAATAAATTGTTCAATGTTAATGCCATTTCAAAATTTTCACGTGTATTAAGGGTTAGTTTGGTGTGTCTGAATGAAATAAAGTGGGAATGGAATGAATCAGATAATGGAATGGGAATGGAATGACCATTCTCATTCCCATTGGTTGCACAGAAAAACATCATATGTAGTCGCTGTTTCATCAAATGTTTTATTTATTTATTTTTAAAGTGGGAATGGAATGGTCATTCCTTTAGTTGAAAATTGAAATAAATTAGTAGGAATCACCATTCTCGAAAAATAGACAAGAATCATCATTCCAACTTTAAAATTAGTTACCAAATTAAAGAATAGAAACAAAAACATTTCATTCTCACTTCATTTGATTCCATTCACTCACACCAAATTATAGTACCAAATTATAGTTTCCTCTTTTGCTGCTGCTGATGGGTTGGCCAAATCATAGTTCACATTTGTTGAATTTATTTTAGACTGTGTTTGAATTGAACTATTTTGGCTGATTTGACCAAGAAAGTGACTAAATTAGTTATTAGTTGAAAACATAGTTTGGTTAACCATCAAATAAGTTATTTGTAAATGGCTTAAGCAATAAATCAATTAAATCACTGCAAGATTTTAAGCCGTTTATTTTTTTAAAGCAGATGAACAGCAACTTTAAGTTGAGGATCTTAAAGTCTTAGAGGATCTGTGTGTGTGTGTGTGTGTGTGTGTGTGTGTGTTTAAAGCAAACATGAATTATTAGAGAATTGTTTAAGTCTCAATTACACTTTCAATACTCATTCATGAAATAATTAGAATACTTGATATGAACCTAACATAATTCTTTATAATTTTGCTCAGGTCTTAATGATTTACTGATTACAAATTTTTTTCTTTTTCCCTCCATTTGTTCCAGCTTTATTTCAGATAATCAGGACAGCCACAGGTGGAGGCATGGCTTAAACTACAAACAGATTATGTGATATGGTAGCCCACAATGAGAAATTGAGAGTACATTTACAACACCAATGTTTAATCAACTTGTAAAAAAACTTTGAATATGAATAAAAATGCACCTTACTGTGCTCTTCCCATTATTTATTTATTATTATTATTATTATTAAAAGTCTTTTTTAGAATATGTTTGGGCTCCAATTGTTGTGACCTAAAATATTCTTTTTAGAATTTTTTTTTTTCAGGTAAAATATTTTTTTATTTTTACTTTGTCGGTGTTTAGCAAAGGTTTAGGTCGAGTTCATCGGGTGGTGTATATAAAATAAATTGTCGAAAATTGATAAATAAGTTATTTTTATTAAATTTTAATATATATTTTTTTTTCGTAAAATTTAAAAAATATATATATTTTATGCCCAAACAAACAAGCCTTAAAATACCATAATAAGAATTACAGGTGAAGGCCTGATATGACCTCCCATTTTGATCCTCACTCCAACAATTGATCCTCTCTTAAGCATCCATTGCTTAATATACCTAATACTCTCCTTTTTACTTGTATTTCTGTATTCCTCTGGGTCATTTTTGATCAATCAAATCAGCCACCATTTTCAGATTCTCTTCCTCCCTTCTAGTAGAGAACGACTTATTATTCTGATCTGGCCACTTTCTAGCCATTGGAAATTCTTCATTTATTAAGAATAATCGATAGGACGGCTTATTGGTTTATGGGTAGTGATGTATATCCCCAAAAATAAGCATCGAAAAAATCCTCAGAGTTCCGATTCCATGAAATATTGATACGACTGTTTTTTTAATAGGGTGAACCGGACCACTATTACACCGGAGATAATATTGGTCCGGGTTTGGGGGCTGTGGAAGATAGAAAGGAGGATAAGTGAACTATTATAGAAGTTTTAAATTACATACTATCTTAAATTATACAAGTTTTAAATTATAATACTATCCCCTGTAACTTACAATATTATAAATTTTATTAAATATAATGGTAAAAACCATTAAAACTCTCTCTTTCATTCCCTGTCAACGAAGATCGTAGATTATGAATTTATTCTCCTCTCTTCTAACCAATCCAAAAAAAAAACAAAAGAAATAGGCAATCTCTTCTCTATAGATGTCTCATCCATCCCTTCTTCTCTTCCCTCCATCTAATTTTTCTCATTCCTACCGAACAGAGCATTAAACATGAGTTATCAGAGTGAAGGATTCTTAACTATCTTACTGCAAAATAAGCATTTTTGAAGTCTTCATCTAAAATGAAAGTTTACATCTAGATGTTTGTACACATGGAGTAAACCATAATCATTATACTCCCATAGGGATCTTGTACATCATCATAGTAGCGAAAATTGGGCTGCACACACAGTGGTGGCAAAAGCTTGCAGCCAACTAAGGATAGTACCGACACCAAATGAGAGAAACTACGCACTTGATGTGGCAATGCTGCTGGATATACAAAAGGGTCAAGCTGAAGCAGTCAGGCATGGATGGAATGCAGTGCCGCACGCTATCCATTGTCGCTTCTTCCCGTGTGGCAGCATGCACCCAGGAACCTTCAGCCATTCCCCGGTCAATACATTGTAGGTAACCAGCCGGTTCGTTTGCCTTGACCTCAGCGATAACATGAGTAAACCTTTGTTACCCAAGCAAGTCATCCTAACGTGCTTTCCGTAAAACTCCAAGCACCAGATGTTTGGCATTCTGTCAACCTCCTTCCATAAGAGAGTCATCTTCTGTAACTCCCAAATGCACACGCATGTGGCAGCATTCTTCGTCAGCAACCCTACAAGCATGATTCGCCCCTCGCATTCTGCAAGCGTGTGGTCACTCAGATGTAGGGGAGCTGGGATTAGAAATTGCTTCCAAAACCCAGTAACCATATTGTAGGACACAATCCCATCAGGGTCTGATCGCATGAAGTAAATTGTTCCATCAATGGACACCGCTTGCGACCTGAAATTCAGTGATAATGGTAGCTTAACAGTTGAAGGCATACTTCCTGGGCGAATCCAAGAGTTACTTAAGGAGTTATACACTTCAAACTCTCCATCACAACCAACCCAGAGGATCTTATAGCCCCCACTTGTCGATTTCGCATTGAGTGTCATTCCCACAGCAACTCGGGACCAGACCTTTACTGACCTAGCTGGCAACTCTCTAAACGACCGAGTGAGAGGGTTGCAAACATAGAAACTAGTGTGGCCAATGTCAAGAAAGCACACAAGACCCCCAGCCGAAGCGACTAGCAAGACAATTGACTTTGTTGGAAAATCAGGGATTGTAGGGTGGTGCCATTTCTTCAAGGAAGGGTCATACATAGCTCCTGTATTAACATTCTCATGAGAGATAGTGTAAAACCAGGGTTGGGCCTGTGGGATTTGTGCACATTGTTCGGAGAAACTGTGGGAGGTAAGCAAGGAATTCCACTTCCGGCAAACAGACCGGAATTGGAAGAATGTGGCAATGGGGAGTCTAGCAATGACAGCTTCATAAAGGTCTTCTGGAAATTCTTTCCAAATATGTTGTTCCATATTCTCAGTCAAACTAGTGGCAGTGGGTAATTTTCCTCGATTCCTCTCCTTTCGAGATTTCTTTGCAGGTGGAGGCTTGCAAGGTTCCAACATCCTGAAGCTTCCTGGTTTTCCAGCACTTCTTATAAGACTGTAATAACCATCTCCCAGAGAGCTATCATCAAGATCTAAGAGGCACCATCTGCGAAAAAATGCAACCAATAGCCCAGTCAGATTTTCATATTGATGGAATGTTATAACTTTAAACTATAACCACAAAACAATTTGGTTTAAATGTCAGGGACCAATTGTGTGAATGTAAATTAATTAAGAGGCAAGTCATTGCAAATTATAAATCACTTAAAGTAGATGCTCCAAAATATTGTCATTGGTACATTTCTTAGGGTGGTTTAAACAAACTATTAGACTTTCTTCAACACTATATCTAAAAAACTATAGCAGGTTTACACATTTCTCATACTTGATTCCCCACTATCAACCATGCCTTACAGCTTTACATAAATAGAAGTAATACAGTTGGATTGTTGTGATCATTTTTAGGATTCATTTTATGTAGTAGGAAAAGCATACTGGTCAGTGGTCTCAATCACTAGTGATGATCAGGAAAATAAGATCTTGGAGATTAAGATTTTGTAGGTTTAAAATTAGGAAAATTGTTTTTGCACCGAATGCTCAACTGAAGTGCAAAACTGAAGCATTTCTTATCCACTTGATGCAATATAGTGGTACGGATGAGAAAGCTTCAGTTAGAGCATTCATTGAATGTAGCACCACTTTTAAAAGAATGAGCATTATGGGCATTTGTTAGAGCCAAATTTACAACAAATTCCAAATAAAAGACGGAGAATTGAAGCAAGGTAATGATGAACAGGAAAACCATATACTGGTGGTGTTTCTATTACATTTGGCAATATACCTAATCTGATAACACGAATTGTAATGCTTCCACCTGAAGAAGACTTGAAAAAAATTGTCTAGTAGTATGGCAAAACCTTTTAACCTTTTAATGTTCCAGTAGGCTTCTTCAACCATCAATAGAGACTCCATTACCAGAAAGATCCAAGGCACCTTATGGGCTAGGCTGGTCTTAACACATGACTAGGGTATTTGTCCAGTACCAAACAGTATAAATCAATGCCAAAATTTTAATTTGGCAATTTTAAAGATCACAATATACCAGGAGCCATTAGTTGCAAAAAGTGCCAGTTCTGATGCAATATGTGGATACCAGGAGTTTGAGTTGATTACTGATGCAATGGCATAGATTGACCCTTCAGTCAAAAGAGGAATATTTTCTAGTTCTATGTAAAGCATAAGAATCTTGTGGGGGGTAGAGGCGACCGTGTTCAACAATGATTCAGACCATGTTGGTTTGATATAAAGCACAACACATTTTAGGAAATTCATCAGACTGAAACAACTTCTTCCTTTAATTGCCAAATTTCTGAATTTATTTCTTAAAAAATGTACTATCATCTAAGTAATAATATTCTTAGAAGAGAGAGAGAGAGAGAGAGAGAGATTAATAAAAACAGCTACCTTCAATTGTTTTTATCCTCTATCAATCCCGACAATTTTAGCATATTATTTTATGTTCAATACATGTCCCAGAGCGAATGAAACATGTTAGGCAAAGCCACATCTTCTCACAACATTCATAAGCTAAGAAGCACGGATACGGATACGACACGACATGGACACAGCGACATGTCAAATCCTAAAAAATTAGGACACGGGCACGGCGAATAATAGAGATATATATTTATATACATGATGTTATACTTTAAAAAAATTTAGAGTAATATTATTTTCTATCAACCTAATAATGAAAAAAAAAAAAAGAAGAAGAAGAGTACTTTATGGGAAAAAGAGAAAATATAGAGAGAGGTAAAAACAAAGAAACATATATATGCAATAGTTTGAACATTTGAACTAAATATAAGCATAAAAATCTGATTGTTTTATATAATTATTTTATAAAATAACTTTTAAGTAATTATGTAATGACTATCATATTATTGAAAACTGTTAAATAACTCCTCATAGTTACACTTCAACCTTGCTTTCTTTCTAAAACTTTCTTAAAATCCCCAAGCTTACTTATCAAAAACAAATCACGGCGTGTCCCCGGCGTGTCCAAATATCCATGGCATGTCTGACACCATGGCCATGGCGTGTCCAAATATTAAAAAATAAATAAATAAAATCAGACACGTGTCTAGCGTGTCCATGTCCGAGACGGATTTTTTGCCCTCTTAGGCATGTTTGTGCTTCCTAGTTCACAAGCTAATATAAAACTCAAAAAAAACCCTAACTTCTAAGTTCACTCTTCCTATAGCTATATACTTTAACGAATAAGAAATATTTTGTAACAACTATAAGAAAAGTCCAACCATGTTCAATTGCATCCACAAGCTTTTGGCACATAGCCATGTTTAACAATTAAGATGTTTTCCATAATGTTGGAACACATCCGTGTTCAACACTTATTCAACCCAACCACAAAGTTACACAAGTTGGCATTACTTAGAAATTTTCTAATTATAAAATTTTTTTGGTAATATTTCTTGTATTGAAAATCGGTGGCTACTTACAGCCAAGATTTGGCTCAAATGGTATCTCCTCCTCCTAATTGAAAGGTTGAGGGTTCAACTCCCTTTAGGAGAATAGTGGGTGTGTATGTGGTTGGTTGGCTTGCATTGGTGGTTACAGTGACTTCGTGTGCGTCGGAAGGTCATTATTCTTTTTTTTCTTTCTCTTAAGGGGAAGTGGTGGTAACATATACCAATTTTAACCATGTGACATCTTTTGCCACATCTGGTATCTTCATGAGCTCAAACAAAACCTATCAGAACCAAAGTAAAATACTCTAGCCGTGAAACATGGATCGCACAGACTATTCTCTATGTTCAGTATGGTGATCCATGCTGCTTCAATGTTTTCTATGTACTTGAATTTGATCTGTGAAAAATTCTGCCTATATCAGAGGAATATGGGGGCTTAAGAAGCTTTAAAAAGCATTCTAAATGGATTCAAACTCATACTCTGGGCCATGAAAAATTATGATGCAAAACCAATACAGTGACCAAGACATGTGCAAGCCCAAAAAAATGAAAATTAATTTTTCAAATTTCTGATCAGTTGGATTATGTAAAGCAGGAAGGGAGCTTTACTGATAGAGACAAGTATCTGTGTGAATTAGTTAACTAACAATATGACCTCCTCCTAAAAGTGCAGAATCAGGCTTAGATAGAGATTAACCTCTCATTTTCCTATTATAACTAAAAAAAAAACAAACTACAACAACAATCAAGCCTTTTCCTTCCTTCCTAACTCTACCTACATTAAAAATAATAATAAAAAAATAAAAATAAATAAATAAAAACTATTCCAATTATTTCCATGCATTCAGAAGATGTGACACAGTGAATGTGTTGCACGTATATATGTGCCCAATATGCTCCAAACTATGAGATGGAAACGATGCTAGAGCAAGCTTAATCTAGATGTGTAAGATATGGATGTCAAATGTAACTACAGAGCTTTCACTTACCTCCTCTGGGATCCGCACGATTGCACATGATCAAATCACCTATCAGGAAACCATCTAAGCAGAAAGTGTGGCATGTATATGCAGAAACGTCATTCATTTTTTACATGAAATCTATAGGACAACTCACTCCAAACCCAATGCATACACAGAAATTTTCAGAAACAATGAAAAGTTCAAACAGTATTTTACACAGCCCAAATTGAGCACCCACCTGTAGTTCAAAGCTCTATTTCGTTTCAATAGTTCTCCTAATAATATAACCTTTCGTGAGCACAGGTGGGTGAGACTTAAGACTTGAGACTTGAGAGGGGTTTAAAGCAATTAACACACAGAGTCTGGACTCTGCTTACAGAGAAAGGCAAATCTCCATCAAACTAAAGTAGGTGAGTGCTTACAAATAAAGGAGAACAACCACCAGATCAAATATAAATGCTTCCAGAAACAGAAAAATAAATAAATAAATAATAGAAACAAATTTAATCTAATAAAAATATAAGAATAATAGTACTATATAATAAACAAAAATGGGTAATAAGAAGAAATGAGGTACACCAAAACAAAATTTATGAATAAGAAGACAATATTTCGAGACCAAGATAGAATTAAGCTCAAATTCAACAAAATAAATCACATAAATGATGAATTTGTCCGGAAATGCAATTAGGAAACAAATTCAGCTTAAAAAATCAAATGTGAACAATTAGTATTATCACAATAACAGTATGTAGATATATAAAGAGAGAGAGATTGTTAAATTAGGGTCGGCTCTACATTGCACCACACAAATTCAAACGAAACATCTCACCAAAAATGGAAAGTGCAAACAAACAATTAATCAAATCAATTAGAAAACCTAAGGCGCATAACTAGAAGAACCCAATTCATGAAACAAGGAAAATCTTAGCTCAGACTAAAAAACATCTCCAATTGAAGCAAAAATAGTCAATCAAACCAATTAGAAAACCTAAGACGCCACAACTAGAAGAACCCAATTGAAGATACAAGAAAATGTAAGCTCAGAGCAAAAACCCACCTCCAAATGAAGCATAAACAATCACACAGATCTATATAACATCATATATATAGAGAGAGAGAAACAAGAGAGAGAAATAGAGACCTGTGGTGGTGCTGTGGTGGCGGTGGTGGTAGTGGTAGTTGAAGTGCTTGAAGATGGTGGTGATAAGGTGAAGAACCGTAGAGTTCCAAGAGCTCCTGAACTTGTCCGATGAGCTGCCTCAACATGGCCAGCCCTTCCATGCCCCAGCCAGCTTCTTCTCCTTCCTCTGTGCTGCCCCCTCCCTCCCCCCTCCCCCCGTGTTTCTCTCTCTCCTCTACACTTTCTCTCTCTATATGGTATATAAGCACACACTTTCTCTCTCTATATTGTTGTTGTTGTCTCACTGCTTCTGGTTAATGTTACCCACTCTTCTTTTTTCCACGTCACCACGGCCATACGATAATAAGTAGTATTGACTGGTACGCAACTTTTGTACCTCCTACTAATGAATGTTGTTACATTCCCAGTAGAGTCCCGAAAATGCCCTTTAATTATTTTAGTATTTTTGGAAAGGAAATATTCCAAAATTGAATAAAATAAATAGATGGTGTGTTTGTCGTTTGTTTGTCGTAGGCTGTCAAGTTGTCGTAGGACGGCACTCACTAGGACTAGGGAGTTTTACCACGGCCCTGGTTGGTCACCTAAACCCATATTTGTCAACCAAATTACCAAAACACCACGCACCTATGGGGATAGTAACGGACGGGTTTGGAACGGAATTGAATAAAATTCTACTCTATTTTCTTGGACAATTCAAGTTTTTAATTTGTAAGTATATCAGGGGATTTTAGTTTAGAGAGCACATTGTTAAGAAAAGAAAAAAAAAAAAATTTTATTTGAAGGAGTAGTAGGAAAAAAGAAAAAAGAAAAAAGAAAAAAAGAAGTAAGAAAAATGACAATTTAAAAAGGAAAAACTTAAAATTTAATTTAACAAGAAAAATTAACTTTTTTGTAAAGAAATTTGAAGAATAAATTAGGAAAAAATAGAAAAATAAGAAATAATCTTAAAAATTAATAATTTTAGAGGGACATTATATATATAAAAAAAAAATTCCATATATATACATATAAAATATATTAAAAAAAAAAATTATATGTAGAGTGGGTGGGGCCAGCTCGGGGGGAAGTGCCCCTGGGCATGTACTTGATCCGCCCCTATATACCATCCTATCTCCGCGGGGCAAATAAAGTACTGACCTGCCTTGCTTCTTTCATTTAATTTTATAAAAAAATTAAACTATGGTAAATAAATAAATAGAGGTGAGTGGCTTATTATTATTATTATTATTATTATTATATATCAATGCCTCTATCCGCTCTCTATTCCATTTAGCAGTGTACTAAATCTGTCTCATTCTATAAAATACGAACACTTTTACAAAAGATCATACTCGTTTCGGTTCGACACTCGTCCAACACATGTACAACATTTTATATACATGTCCATAAATAAAAATATTTTTTCATTCTTTCGGACACTTTCCTAATACTTTCGGACACCTCGGTGATACTTCTTAGACACTTAGACCAACACTTTCAAACATTTCTAACGCGAGCATATCCAGTAATCTTGAAAATAATATTAACATATTCTAAAGTGTTCAACTTTTTTTTTAACAAAAATTAACATTATACACATATGATCACAAACAAAATATTAAATAATATTTATTCATTTAAAATAAAAACATTATTATGACAAAGTAGTGGAATAATTGTATATATGATATAAAAATCATTACAACTCTTAATATAAAATTTAAAATGAATTAAAGTTTTATAATACTATTACTCAATATATGTATATAAATAAGTTTTATATTTATATATAGTCGTGTCCAAGTCGTACCAGTGTCCTACTTTTTAAAAATTTGGCATTTCAACGTATCCGTAATATGTCGTATTGGTATCCCGTATACGTATCCATGCTACTTAAGTCCCATTAGGGGCAGGGGCGGAGGAAATTGTCACCCTTACGCAAGTCTTGTCATTGAGTCCAGATTGTAGCGTCAAAATATAAGTTGCACGGAATGGGAGCTAGAGGAAGAACGCGAAAGTGCTAAAATCTAAGTCACATAGAGTAAAAGTAAAAGCGAGAGTGTGCGCAGAGCATAAGAGTTGCCCCCCCCAATTGAAAAGAATTATGTGACTAAGATCAAAATCCTCTCAATGAGAGAAACCCGGTCCTATCTAATTGGTGAAGTTTGTTATTATAAATGATAATCGGCATTGTTACAATGGTGTGAAATGTGCGTGTAAGTCAATTTTTAGGTACATTTCAGACTATTATATTAACGTGAGTTACCAATTATGGTGGCGAACTTCACTAATTGGATTCAAACAGCATGTTCCCCTCTCACTAAAGAGGATTTTGATCTCGGATTGTAAGGCATATTTGGTTTAGCTTTCTAATGGTTGGATAACTGAAATTCAGAAAATTGTATAAATTTGTCTAATTGATATTAGTTTTTAGAATTTTTTGAAATTTTATTTAAATAATATTTATTTTCAAAGAATTGTGTTTTATAATTTTTTAAAATAATATTCTTCCCTCTGATCTCTTGAGAATTGTTTTATAAAACTTGAATCAAATGGACCCTAACTTTTTGGAATTGTAGACCCGAGGAACGCATTAACTCGAGGTTGAAACACGACTATTTTAAGACTTGGAACAATTGTTTTGATCCTGGATGTAATGTGTTACTCCAAATAATTGTGTTGAACCTTGATACAATGTGTTGCAATATAAGTTTCAACACTGTTATTTTGAGACTCAAAACTGCAACACATTTAATCAAAGTTTAACAAAATTATATTCCGAAATAATTGCGTTGAACTCGAGTTAGTGTGTTGTTTGTGTCCACTGCTACTCACTACAGAATAAAGCATAGAGACTTGGATTGTATATGACCCCTGTTAAGAATAAAATCGACACACTTTGAAAATGGGTGAAAGATTGAATGAGAAATTTGGTCAAATTATAAAATATTTGACAAACTTAAAAATTAGAATCTGATAAAAATAAGACAACTGTAATATTTTTTATTTCGGCATAAAATTTGAATAATTTAAGAATATTAAATATATGGAGGAAATGTTTCAAGTGATGTAGTAATTAGGATTCAAAGCGGACATATTTGGATCTAAATTATCTAATACCGTTTTGTAACTAAATTGAAAAATGCAACACCATATAAAAGTATTATTACAGTGATACATTTCAAAATAATATGTCGCACGAATATTATGTCTCCAACGTAAAAATGTGCATGATTGTTACGTCCCGGATGTACGTCTTTAATTTAAAATGCACTGGTCTAGTGTACAAAAGTACATGCATCTTAATTCATGATCATTGACCGTTTGCGTGTGTGAGTATACACTTATTCATTTGAAAGTCGGATTGTTTGGTTACAAGTATATCTAATATAAATATTTTGAAGGTAATGCTTGGGTATGAAGCATGTTCCTTTTGATTAAATTTTTTTTATTATTTTTATTTTTATTTTTATCGTAACAAGAAACTTGTTATACTATCATAAAAGTTTTAAATTAAATACTATCATAAATTATACAATTATTAGATTAGAGTACTATTCTCTATAAATTATAATATTATAAATATTATTAGATATAATAATAAAATTAATTAAAACTTTCTATTTCTTTATCTCTTTAACGAATATGGTAAATTATGAGTTTATTCTCTTCTTTTCTATACAATCGAACAAAAAGAAAGAAATATACCATCTCTTCTCTAAGAATGTCTTATACATCCCTTCTATCCAATTGCATTAGGGCCAGTTTGGTAGGTGTTTTGTTTTAACTGAAACAGAATAAGTATTTTGTTGTAGAGTGTTTTGAATAGTAATCGAAAGCATATTTAGTAACGTCCATTTATTACAAGATTTTTGGAAGAAAAAAAAATGAAAACATGTGTAGTTAAAAAGTGTTGCAAGTTTGAAAAATATAATAGTTGGATTAAAAATGTCATTTAAGAGTTTTTTTTAAAATAAAATAAAAAAAATTACTTTTCATCGTTACAGTACCATACATTACATTTTGGAAACATATAAAAATACTAAATTGGTGTTTCAATTTTTAGCCACTATTTTTGGACACTGTGTGAAACAAAACAGTTTTCAGTATTTATTGCTATAACACTCAACAAAAACAAAAATACCAAAAATAAAACGCAAACCAAATAGACTCTTAAATTACAATCCTTAACTCACTTACTCCACTTGTCCTCCATCTCGATCAATTGTAAGAATTAATCATTTTTCGTCTTCATTCTCTGTCAAATATCAGTATCGATTTTTATCTAACCATTGATTAAAATAATTATATCAAAATTTCTTACAATGATAGGTGTTTGTATATCATTGGTTTGATCTGTTGTGACATCTCACATCACTTCATGAATGAGAGAGATTGTTGATAACGTAAACATCTTTTCTTACACGTTTTAAAAATCGTAAACATATAAAATGTGTAAAGCAAACAACAGTTACGTAATGGTACGGACATGCAATCCGTGCAGTTCACTGCAATAATGCTCCCCAATTTAATGAGGATATCCGAAATTTACGTGCCGAAACAATGTGTAGGTGGAGTGATAAAGGCGAAAAAAAGTTCGAGATCCTAATTTTTTTCATAGGTGTTGGTTGGGACTTACAAAGCTAATGAAGTGACCCCTAAACATCACATGCAAAACCTATCCATTTAGATGCAACTAGTGGACTCTACATACAAAATGATTGGTGAAAAAACATATCCATTTTGATGCAACTAGTGGACAAATTTCAAAATCATGCCATTAGCTAGGTTTTTACTTAAATGGAAGAGCCATTGCAAAATGCATTAACCCTAGATAGCTTCGTGGTCCATGGAACACAGGATATATATATATATATATATATATATATATATATATATATATATACACACACACATATATGTATATATTGTTTCTCTATTTTAGTATAGACAATATGTGTTGATATGGATACGTACTTACCAGAAAACATAATAGAATGGGTTGTGGCACATTGGATCTCATTTAAATGGGCCCCACTATAAGTTGACAAATTTTTAAGTGCAGAGGGGTATTAAGGTAAAATCAAATCAGAAACTATGCTCTGGGTAGAATTTTCTGGTCCAACCTTTTCATGTGTGTGAACGGGACTCATGTGGTCAAGTCATTCAACGACCCTCCTTTCATAACCAGCTTTCTTGACCAGAATCGACGGCTCAGATGACATCTCTCCAGGCTCTTCTCTCTCTCTTATTTCCACGCACACGGCACGATTGTCCCAACTCTGTCCCCACATTCCCATCTTATCATGATTTT